AAATAATAAAATTCCAATAATAATAATAATAATAATATTAACAATAATATCAAGATAATACAAATACAATAATATCAAAGATTATAACAAATACAATAATAATATCAATTGTAACAATAACAGATTTATTAATATCAACAATACTAATATAGACAATAATAATGAAAAAAATAACAATAATAACATCAATGACAATGAAAGTGTGTGTGTGTGTGTGTGTGTGTGTGTGTGTGTGTGTGTGTGTGTGTGTGTGTGTGTGTGTGTGTGTGTGTGTGTGTGTGTGTGTGTGTGTGTGTGTGTGTGCATATGTATATGTATGTATATATATATATATATATATAATATATATATATATATATATATATTATATATATATACATATATATACATATATAAATATATCACACACACACACACACACACACACACACACACACACACACACACACACACACACACACACACACATATATATAATATATATATATATATATATATATATATATATATATATTATATATATATATATATATATATATATATATATATATATATATAATATATATATATATATATATATATATACATATAATACATATAATACATATAAATATATATGTGTACATATATGTATAATAAATACATATATATAATAAATACATATATATAATAAAATTGAAGAAAGGAAAATGAAATGACTTGTAATAAAAAATAATAATAATTGTTAAAAGATGTTCTCCCCGCAGTCTTCCCAAAAACAAAAGGTGCACGCCCGAATCGGGAGAGCCATTTGTAAACAACGAGGATCGTGAGCCACACGGTACGTCAAGCTCCCTCGCCCTCTCACCCTACTATGTCTCAGGAGGAAAACCACGATATGGAGGAAGAAGTCGAAACAAAAAGCAAGGACAAGAAGGCGGCCAAGCACGACAGCGGTGCCGCCGACTTGGAAAAAGTGACGAATTATGCGGAGGAAAAGGAAATCAAGTCAAACGCGAACTTTATGTCGGTCATCAACGATGTGAAGAAACAGGATGAAGCAACGAGAGTGAGAATTTTTGAAAAATGTTTTGAATGATTTGTTACATGTGGGATTTGCTAGTATGACATGTCAGTGTGGTATGTTCTATTTCTGACGTCACAATTTGAAGAAATTGGAGTTATAAATTCTGCAGGAAACTCATATTTTCCTGTTTTTATATTTTTAGAGTTTTCCAGAATGCCTTCGCAAAACCACTCATGATGATTATGGTATCAATGGATTGCTCTCACTCCTTATTATCCAAATATATTGAAATTATGCCCCATCCATTAGCTACAATCTTGTTCCCATTAACATGAAATTACCAAGGAAATTGCAGGGTAAATTATAAATCATATACTCATAATCATGCTCTCCTCCCTGTAGCCGCCACCCAGCCCCTGCAATGGAAGACAAAAAATCCACTACCTATTTATGGCAGGGTAGAGTGTACGACCAACATGGGAGGGTGCCTGATACCGTCATATACTCAAAATAACACTCTCCTGGTACTATTCATGGCCTCCCTTGCCATTGGGGTCAAGATTGTGGTGGGGAGGGGAGGTAAAACCTTGATACATTTAGATAGCAGAGTGAGAGGAATCCATTGATACCCAAAATCATCGTGGCTGTTTATACAAAGTTACTAAAAAATAATAATAATAATAATTTCAGATATGGATATAAATTAATTTTTAAAGTTAATTTTTTGCTGTATTTTTTTTACCCATATGCAATAATGTTTTGACTCCATCAGTAAATAAAGAATTTATGATTAGAGCTCTCACAAATATACATATTCGTATTAGGTGAAATAATATTTAAAGTTAGTCATCCCCAGCTAGGGAGGTTAGATTAGCTCATCTTTACTTGTATTACATAATATTACAGTATGTCTAGCTTTCCAATATTTTTATGTGCTTTTCTTTTGATTTTTCAAATAAAAACAATCAGTTGGTAACATTACATATGCACTGTCCAATGATATCGAGGAATTGTCAAAAAAATAAATCTTTCTTTTCAGTCTGCAAAAGAACAAGAGTTGATGAAAGTGTCGATCAAGAAGGAAGATGTTGAGCTAATCATGAAGGAGCTAGAAATCCCCAAAGTGAAGGCAGAGCGAGCACTTCGTGAACACCAAGGGAACCTCATAGAAACTCTAGTCACACTTACTAATTAGCTATAACAAATCTATTAACATTCTGTCCATGTTAAATTGAAATAAACTTCAACTTTGCTATTTTTATTGTCTTCCTTCATGCTGTTCAGTACTACTCTGCAGTCACATTAAATCTTTGCAAATTCATGCCATAAAATGTGAATTCAAATTACTGGATAATTATGAAGACAATGACAAAATATCTGAAGAAATTAAGTAAAAGCGAATTGTTACACTTCAAGCTATCGGCTGTATTTTACCCAACAGAAGTGAATTATCGTTTCAGTAAACATGATATGAAATAAAACCATACAATATTATCCTATTCTTTTTGCCCATTGAAAATGAAATACGACTAAAACTGCAAAGGAATGATGGATCAGTAGCTTGTTCCATATGAAAAGCCAACTGGTTTATCCTGAAATGTTAACCCATTGCTGCTGATGTGATTGGGCCTTTAAAGGCCTATCACACACAAGCACTTTTCCTGTCAATTTTTTCATTTCCACCTGAATTTGAGACTTCCTATGAGTATCCTTTGCAAACATAATACCTCATAGATGACGACGGTTGTGACCGTTTCCATCTGACTAATTTCTGTCTTGGTCTTGTGCTACACAGGATTTATACTTTGATTTTTTTTTTTTTTCATTGATAAATTATACATAATAAGTTAATGTAAACATAAATTAAAATTCTAAAATATTTCTATATACAAAATATACAGTGGAATTACTTTAAAATAACATGATGTGATATGTATGAGAATGCTCATGTGATTCACAGAACCTCACTCTCCCTTGATAGTGTGATGAGATCAATCCATTTCCATATGAAAAGTTCATACAGAAATGCAAAAATTGATGGAAAAGGTGCTAGTGTGATAAGGCTTTAAAACAGTTCCTTCACCGTTTACTCTAGTTTTTTTGTGAAATGTCTTTACTCACAAATGGCTACATACGAATCAATTAGGAGACCTAATTAGTGACCTAACCTGAATTCCCCTTTCCTTGAGTTTCCTGGTGTATATTTTTTCTTTTCTCTTCTTTACCAAAGCTATCAATATTGATGATGTTAATATTATAGAAATTATAATGTTATATATATTACTAATAGCAATATAAGCTAAAAGATAATATTTCTAAAAATCAAGAAAAAGGGTGAACAGGTTTGGTAGGTAGTCATAGTAAGTGACTCCTTGGTGACTAAGCATTTGTGAAGTTATCTATCTTGAAACCCAATTAATAAACTACAATCACAGTGGGCATGGTAAATACATACATGCCATCCTAGGCAGTACTGGGTTAAGCAACATAGCAGTATCTGGTTTATACTTGGGAGAAAACAAGAAAGAAAAAATAACTGCCAACCAATGGCAATGAAATGCTGTGAAAGGACACAAAATGAAGAAAATGAACTAGCTACTGAATTCAGTTCAAAAAGTAATATTACTTTTTAAAATTTATGAGATTAGAAATGAATAAAATGATGTGGAAATATTTATGATCTTATCAAAAACAAGAAATATAATTCTAGAAGCTTCAGGAACATAACACAAGATAATTTCCTTTCTCATGCAATGCAGTTTTCTCAAAAAGCTGTTAGTAATGGCAGCGATAGAATTTAGAAAAAGGTTGAAAAGGGTTCATTCCACAATGGTATTTGTGGCCAGCTGGAGCACATACTATAAAAAGTATATATGGCCAAATACAACACTTCCTCTAAAAATACAAATGGCCAGCTGAAACCAAAATTGAGGTTTCAACATGTTAAAAATGAATAAGGTTCTTAGATTAGATTCTATTTATCTATTTATCTATTTATTCACCTATTTATTTATCTATTATTTTACTATTATTATTATTATTTTTGTGTTGGTAAAACTGAAATTAGTCTTCCATAATTTTCCCGCTTCCAGTAGAACTAACGAAACTACATTGCTAAATGTTGAACTAACAGCCTCATTACCTTTCAACCTTGATAAACATTTTATATAAACTTTTTCTGTATGCATATTGATTTAATTAGCTATAACCTTCCTGCCCCTTTTGCTGTGTCAGCAATGTGGTATCCTGTTAATATTCTCCTAACAAAAAGTCTTTTCAATTCTTTATTTAATAATAGAGATTAACTGTATGTACTAATAAATATAGTACACAGAATGGGTTAAAAATGAAATGAGCAACTGATGGGGGAATCTGGCATTTCTATTTCTTTTGCTGTGTCAGCAATGTGGTATCCTGTTTATATTCTCCTCCCTAACAAAAAGACTTTTCAATTCTTTATTTAATAATAGAGATTAACTGTATGTACTAATAAATATAGTACACAGAATGGGTTAAAAATGAAACAAGCAATTGATGAGGGAATCTGGCATTTCTATTTGATTATGAGTAATTGGAAGATCAGTAATAACAGACAAATTATTATAACAATGGATTGGGGGAACTTACATAAAGTGAATGAAATAATTAACAGTGATTCTCTACTGTGGATATGCCCAAAAGAGGAGGAAAAGAAGCAAAAATATTGTGAGTAAAATAAATACACACAAAGATCATATAACTAAAAGCAATTTCAAGAACAGGAAATGACAAAATGTCATTTCCTTTAAACAACTGTGTTTGCAGCAGGGCTGATTCAAGGGGAATGTATACCAACTTGGGACTTACAAGAAATTTCAATTTAAAAATATATATGTCAAAGGTAATCATATCATGTTCACTGAGTATTATATTAAAAACTACTCATTGTGGAAATGACCAAGCAATGACAAAAATCCAAAATATTCACTGGCATCCCTCATACTCTGGTTTCGGCCTCACAAAGGCTTGAGTCAGCCATTATGAGCCCTATTAGAGTTAAAGGCTGTAGTTTCCACAATCAGTTCTTTTGGTTATACCGGATAATGGCAATGAGCTAACTGAAGATGGCAACCAAAATGGTTGAAATGAGTTGGAAGCAACTTTCTCAGTTTTCTCTACATGTACCGAAATATGGGATTGAAACTCATAAAAGTGCTGAATAACACTTACCAATTTCTCCCTTCATGTTGTTGACCTCCTCTGAAAGCTTGGCAGCCTCTTCATATTTTGCAATTAGGTTCTGTTTAGCCTAGTGAAATAAAAAAAAATAAAGCTAAATAGTCAGAAAAGATTAAAGACGGTTGAACCACACATAAACAAAAAATAAAATTTCTCACTGCTAACATTTTTGTCCCATTTCTGTAATATTTATACCACTGAAACTCCAAAATACCTTAAACTGTAACACAAAAAAGTGACAGCATCTAACAACTCAATTAAGTTCACAGACATGTCACTTGAGTTTCTAGAAAAATATAGAAGTTCCTTTCTAATCAGTCGCTTTCCCAATTCTTTTTACTACAGCTAACATAACTTAAAACAACGACATCAGAAGGCAATTGACAATACCTGTGAGAGTTTAGGCTCCAGCGAAAGGTTGAACTCGGCTAAAGACTTGTTAGCTGCCAAGAGCATCTCCTGTTCGCTGGCCAGGTTCTTCATCTGTGGTAAAAACAAGGCAAAATTATGAATGGATTATGGTAAGGCAGATGTTGCAGTTACCTCTTACTGTGATTAATATCTATAAACAATCACCAGTAACTGAGGTAGTCACTGTACTGGTACCCTTTTGCATTAAAGGATAGGGATGAATTTCAGTGAATGAGGCAAAAACAGTTATACTTTATCATGCTTTTTTTCTTCTAATTATTGTTTTCTCTTTTATATACATAACTCTTTATATTAGAAGAATAACAGGCTCCTTCTTTATCAATATTTCCAAATTGGTTTATAAAACTATTATATACCAAAATTTGTGTAACACTCAACAGTTACATCAACAAAACAATTATTACATAAATTTTCTAGATCTCACTACTACATAGAAATATAAAAAACAAATAACAACTGCAGAAAAGTGAGAAAATCAACAAGCATCTGAAAGCTCACCTGTGGAAGGTCTTTCATGAGCTCTGCTAACTTGTCATCGTTATTGACCAAGTCTCGGAGCTCCTCTGTCGGCAGGTGTCTAATGAGCCCCACGGCTGCTTCGTAGTCTGGTTCCCCCGACATCATCACTGCAATTTGTGAGACATGATGAATTAGTAACCAAAGTCAAGGGGTGGCTCTAACAAATCCTTTATGGCTGGATGATGAGATAACGACAAGAGTATGTGAAAGTGGAATGAAACAAGGAAAAGAGAAATAAAATAAGATCTATAACTGTATATGACTTATACGTATGCCATTTTGTATAAAAAGTATGTGACAAAGTATAAGTTGAAAATTTACAATCTTTTTAGTAATATAAGAATTTTCTTCTTCCACGAATGAAAACGATAATCACAAGTATTAACAAACCATGCTATCATTCATCATTTCTCCTGATTTCCCTATATGCCTTTTTTGGGGGGTTCATAGTATCCGTTTAGTATGGAAGTTAAAGAATGACAAAATAACTTCTGGCTGACAATCTCTTGTTAGGCCCATTCAAATATAATGATATATCTATGTCTAAATTTCTCTGTCTGTCTATGCATCCTGTTAACTATACAACTGTATAATTTCCCTTTTCCATTAATGCTGATCTATTTCATTACTGCATTTGCTATCCCTTTTCAGATTGGAACTGTTAAACATATGAACACCTTTATCTACAAAGCAATTTTCTGCAATCCTGATGGTTGTTTCCAATGTAAGGCTAATACTATGAAAATAACCATATTGTAGCAAGTAAAATAAAAGCCATAATAAAAACATGACTAACTACATCAGCAGTGGTCTATTAATAACTATGAAAACGTGTGCAAAGCTTTCTGAAACAGTCTTTGAGATACCTGGCATCTATTACATCAGCTCTTTCAGTTAAAATAACAAGAAAGTAATAATGATACTACAACCACTACTATTGATAATAATAATAATAATAACTATTATAATCATGATGAAAATAATAATAATAATAATAATCCATATTATGATTATTTTCATTACTGTTATAATAATAGTGATGATAATGAAAATGAAAATCATGATGACAATAACAACAACATAATAAAATAATTAAAATTATAATAATAATAATAATAATAATAATAATAAAAAATAATAATAATAACAATATAATACATAATCATAATCATTATAATTATAATTATAATTAATTATAATAATTATAATTATAATATAATCATAATCATCATCCTCATCATAATAATAAATCAATAATAATAATAAATAACAATAATATTAATAATAATAATTATCATAAATAATAATATTAATAATATATAATA